GAGGGGCGGGGCAGGTCGCTGAGGGCTCTCAGCCTCCACAACCCCTCCTCACCATCGTGCAATATTAAGTATCAACCTATACATGCCCTTCTGATTCTGTTCTACAAGAGGGAGGAGAAGTAGATCCAAGTGGCCTCACTTTTCTAGTGGCAGAGCCTTCCTGGAGTAGCTGGAACCTGGCAGTGATGGGACCCGTCCACACCAATGATGAGCACCCACTATCTGTTGGGTTTTTAATGCACGTTCCTGGGTTTGGGGAGCTACTTGGGCTTTTCCTAACTCTTTAGAAGTGGGTATTTGACTGTAGAGTATGATTTTTTTAAAGATTTTTTATTTATTTTTAGAGAGAGGAAAGGAAAGGGAGAAACATTGATGTGAGAATGAAACATCAATTGGCTGTACCATGCACAGCCCCTACCAGGGATGGAGCCCACAACCTAGGCATGTGCCCTGACCAGGAATCAAACAGGCAGGCAACCTTTCGGTGCACAGGATAATGCTCAACCAACTGAGCCACTGTGGCCCTGTGTTTTTTGATTGTTTATTTGTTGGGTGTATTTTTTTTTATTCAAGTATTTACTGAGCAGCTAGGGAGATACAAAGGTGTTTAAAACATGGTCAAAGAGGTGAGGCAAATGAACGAGTAGAAAGAAAAGTTCACTGAATCACAGCAGCCAAAATAAAAGCGCTTTAGGAGATTAAGGTGAGATTGCTTTCAGCCCGGAAGGGGGCATGGGTGGGTGATAAGTCAGAAAAGGGCATTGAGATTCAAATAGAAGACTTCAGTCTGGACTGTTGATGATGCTCAGCATGGACTATATTTATCTCTCCTTTTCCTCTTTCCCCATCTTTGGGCTTAATTTACTAGTAGTGCCAGGATTATTTAATGTATTTTTTCAATACTTGCTTTGCATTTTTGCTTTAATGCCTTCTACAGAACTAGGTGCTTTCAGTGTTTTAGGAGTTTTTTTGTTTGTTTGTTTGTTTGTTGCTGGTTTTTTTTTTGAAGGATTCTTGACTGTTTGATCTTGGTGTTGATGGTTTTGAGTCTTTTCCATTCTGGTTTGATCTTTGTGTTTGACTGGAGTATCTTGTGCAAATTTCTTTACTGGAGATTTTTCTTCAGCTTTTTCTTCTTCATCGTCATCATCTTCATCATCTTTTTCATCATCACCTTCATTAGCAGCAACTTTTTTCTGTGGAACTTTGCTAGCACTTTCAGGGGCAGAACACATTCTGGATATACTTAGAAGTTTTACATCCTCCTCTTCATCTTCTGGCTCTGCATCTTCCTGAGTGCTGTGCACGAAGATGCACGGGCCCTGAACCACACTTCAACCATAAGGCCACAGGGGGTGATATTTCAAAGCCAACAAAGGAAACCGTGAGCTGTCCAGACATTTCCAGGGTTGCAGTGTGAACTGTCATTGGACTGCCTTCGCAGTTCATCGCCTCTGCTTCAGCAATGTGCAGTGCATCCTTTGCACCAGCCCCTAAGCTGGCCGCTCATAAAGATAATCGGTGCTCCTTTTCATCATTATCCACCTTAAAGTGATCATCTTTGTCAGCCTTGAGTTCACAACTGAAAAGATAGTTCTGGGGCCTCAGAGGGCTCATGTCTATGTCCATCAAATCTTCCATGGGGTGGTAGCATGCACTTAGCAGGGAGAGAAGGTGAACAGAGATAAATGACTTCTGTTTCCCAGAACAGACGCAGAGGACGGAATCGCACCAGGGAAAACTCTCCCTTGTTTTCCTTCAGCCCTTGACCAACTGCTTTTGTGGGCAAGAATCATGGGGTGAATACTGTTAGTGTTTGTTATTTCTGTACTTGTCAGAAGTGGTGGGCAACCTGGCTCTTTGAAACGTGGAGAAATAAGTGCCTTGCAGCACAAAAAAATATAAAAAGGAATTGTGGATGGCATTGTCAGAGGTAAGAACTGGGCAGGTTATGTATCTACTGCCTCATTATTTTGGGCTCTCCGACTGGCGCATTTGCAGACCACAGGCTACTGCCTGGCATCCGGTGCCTTTGGGCAGCTCTTGGGCAGGCATACACGGGCCTGTTGCTCTGTTCTTTCTCTGCAGCGTGCTGTATTAAGCCTTTAACATTTTCTCTTAAGTTTTATATGTGTGTATGTGTATGTCTGTGTGATCTTCAGATACTCCATATATAATCTTCACGTATTACCACTGATAGGACAATGTGAAGCTGCCAACATTGTCTAAACACTCCATTAAAAGCACAAATAAAGCATTATCTGAAGAATGGTCAGTATTAGTATGAAAACTGAAGGTTGTTTTGTTAATCCAAAGGTGCATGAATTGACAGAGGGTCTCCGCCAATGTTTATAGATGATACCTGCCCAGAGGTGGTTATCAGGGGGCCTCATCAGAATCCCGCAGATGAAGGCTCGGTACCAGCTGTCCCAGGAGGCTGGGCAGGAACAATAGTCTGAGGACCTGAGGTGGCAGTGTGCTTAAGCACCCCAGCTCCCATGTCTCCCAGGGGCCCGAGGACGTATGTGAGAGTACAGATCCCAGAACCCTGCCCCACACAGTGGGACCCCCAGAGCCTTGTGCCCAGAGCACAGGGGCTGTTTCTATAGAGAAAGATGGAGACACTGAAGGACTAGATTCTTGCCCTGGGTCTGCAGCAAATTTGGAATGTGATCTCAGGTCAATCCCCTACCCTCTGGGTCTCCATTTATTTTGTTTTAAAATGAAAATAATTCTGCCTGGTTATCTTCCTCAGGATTGCTGGGTTACTCCAATGAGAGGGAGGGTGGGAAGGAAGCATCCGTATAATGTTACTCACATAGGCCTCTGTAGAGGTGAGCATCATTATTTTCGTCATTCAGGTCAGGAAGACAGGCACTGAGGGGTTAGGGAATTTGCCCACGTCCCATGAAGGAGCCCAGATTTGGAACTTTCCATTCCTTCAAGGTGCTCCTCTGAGATTTTAGAAATCAGGTGGAGGCTTGGTCCTCAAACAGGCATGTGGACCAGCAGCATCTCCTGGGAGCTTGTTAGAAATGCAGATGCTCAGGCCCTGGCCCAGGCTGCCTGCATCAGAGTCTGCATTTGAACGAGTTTCCCAGGTGATTCCTGTGCACCTTAAAGTTTGGAAGCACTGTTGTGAAAGAGGTGAGATTAGATGAGAGAGAGTACATGTGAGAATGAGATTATGGCAAACATGCATCATTCAACAAAAATGTAAGGTCCTCACAGGGATGAGCAACGAAGAAATCTTTACTGGGAAACCTGTCCACTGTTTCAGCCCTTTCTGAGTTCTGTTCCAGGGGGAACCTGGTCTGAGAAATCCAGACCTCCCAAAAGAACAGGCTTTAGATGGAAACAAATGTGTGTGTGTGTGTGTGTGTGTGTGTGTGTATGTGTGTGTTTAAAATTCAAAGATAGTAGGATTACTTTTCTTTTTCAAAATGAAAGAAGGAAAAGTCAGGAAGAAAGAGTTTAACAAAGCAAAGTGTCATCACTTTTCATTTATGTCAGGAGGGATTCCTTTGTGGGAGACAGTATCCAGCATCCACCAGGTAGGGTGGCCAGCTAGGCGGGGGGAAGTTCAGTTTTCAGACTACCTTTCCAATGACGGTTGGTCCTCGGTATGGAATCCTAAGACCCATCAGAGTGAAGGCTGTCCTCCTGGCCCTCAGCTGACATTGGAGAGCGGCCCCTACGAATGCAACCAGCTTGAGGAGTATGGAAAAGCATCGGGCAGCATCCCGAGCGGCTGGTCTTGGGGGAGCATCAGTCTGGCACAAAGAGATTCTCAATCTGGGGCCAGAATGTCCTGCGGGATCTGCTTCAGGGAAGAGTGCGGGAGGCCGTGCCTCTCCTCCTTGCTTCCTCCAGTGAGCTCTGCTGAGGCTGCACAGCATCCCTGGGCGAGCTGTGATTTCTTACCAGTGACTTTTAACACATGTTCTCATGTTGAAATTTGCAATATGTATGCGCTGTGCTATTTAACCCTTACAAGTCACTTTTCTGAGACTGTTCGTAAAGTGTACGTTCTTGAAAGAGTCAAGACACCACTTGTCATCAGCCTCCCAAGCCTTCATTCACGTTCATGGCCCCAGAAAGAGCCCATCGGGAATATCACACAGACCTGATCCCGGCCTTTGAGAACTCATACGGGAAGGCAGACTTAGTGACACATAAATTAATGTCCTGGCTGCAGATGTCAATCCAGATGTGGGTACACATCTGCTAAATCAGAGACTGTATATACTAATTGACATACGAAAGACCCTGAGGTCCTGTCATTTTAACTTGGGGTTCTTCCACCACCCTTAGCCCTGATCTTCCTATATTGGTGTCACTTCAGACTAGCCAAATTAGAATAGGCTAAACCAATTTTTTCATAGTCTTTCCCTCTCCCTCCCTATTTTTTTTCTTAAATTTTCAAAAGTCTGGAAGAAGGGGATTTAGGTCAGGATGATACCATCATTCTGTCACTTCTAATTTCATTCTGTTAACAGTTTTTTGAAACATGTAGGTAGAAGCTTTGATTTTGAAACATCATGCACTTTTTAAGTTTTGACTCCCAACAGTAAAATTTCAGATCAGTTGTAAAAATTCTCAAGAGTGAATATGAAAGAGGAACTGCCTAACCAGTCTCCCCTAGAGACCTGGAGTCCTCACGCCCTTCCCAGCCCCCTGATTTCAGAGTTACAGAAATATAAGCAGGTGCTGGGAGTGAAGGCGAACTGGAAAAAGCAACGGGCTCCAAACCAGACTGGAAAACAGCCCCGCTGTCTTCTCCTTCCTCCCTCCGCACACTGACTGATGCCTTCTGTCGCCTGGAGATGAACTGGGGAAGGCTGGTTATTGACAGCTGGGCAATTTACACAATAAAGTTTAACAGTTTACATCCCCTTGTCTGATTTTGTCGATGTTTTCAATGGATCACCTTCTCAGGAGCCAGGACTGACTC